AGAAGAGTGGAATCTGTGCTCTGGTTATAGCAAGATTGCAAAGAGAAAGTAAAATGAGCCAATTGCCCTTGATGTATCTATCACCAACTTCAGTTTTTCTGTGTGGAATCCTGCAGCCTGAGTGATCATCTGTCTCCAGTTCTGATTAGATAATCTTAGACACTGCACTCACCGTTGCTGTAAGGTCTGCAGAAGAGTTGTCTTTCCTGGGTTGCAACTAGCATGATGAGATTTGCTTCCTGGTTTCATTCTCATTCTGGCTGGGAGATTAGGGTGATATTTCCCAGAAGATCACTGCAGGCTTCACTTGACAGTGCAGCCAGTGTTCCAAAGGCCACCGTTGTTTGTAGCGTCAGGGTAATAAAACAATGATGTCTGGAGACATTCAGTATTGGTTCAATCAGGCCACAATTTCATTATTAGATGTCTGGGACCACTCAGCAGATATGTACAGTGCAGGTAGCCTTCCCTGGTCTTCTCCCATAATTATCCAGGGAGGGGGAAAAGTGTCTTTTACAATCCTCCCCCCACCTTCCACCTAGGCCCCCGCCAGCAGATTTATTGTTAGGACCTTACAGTCCTCCAAGGGAGAGGGGGCTTCAACCAAACTCCCCCTCCCTTTCCATCTAGATCCCCCCAGCAACTTGATCACAGGAAGGGGACTATAATGATATGGGGCTGGTACCAATCACAGGAGTCCCAACTATCCCCAGCTCTCTGTTATGGGTCACTTCTACATTAAGTCCTTTCCCCAAGACATTTATCGATTACTAGACGCCTTCTTTTACGGAGTGCCTGCACTGAACATCTGCTATACACTTGAGTAATGAGTTGGCCTACCCCCCGAATCTACTCCTACCCCTCTATGTAAACTACCTAAATGAGGACATAGCTCCCAGTGCTGGGAGCCCATTTACACTGCGGGTGTTTTTTCACACCCCTGAGCATGAAAGTTGTGGCACAGTAAAGCGGCAGTGTAGACATAGCCCTAGTATCCCTAGCCTTTCGTTGGGGACTTTTCTCCTTCTCTTTTTTCTTCTTGTTTCCTCGTGTCTGCTAATCCTTCTTTTAACTGCTTTGTCTGTGCCATGCCCCGTTCTGCCCTCTCTTCAGCCTCCATATCCCTTACTTGACGCCTTTTTAGATGGTTTTAGTAGTGTGCACTGTGGCAGGTGTTACCAGCACCAGCCAACTGGTTTCCTACCCTCTGCTGACTCAACCATTTCAGAGTCAATACTTTTATTCCTGCCAGAGGTCCCTTGTGCTGCTACTCCTGTTGCTACTAACAGAACTTTTTCCTCTTTGGGGAGCAGTGATTCGTTTATAAGATGAAGGTGTCCTAGCTTGGCGATGCGCGCTTTCATCCTTTCCCTTACTCTGGGGCTTCCAAAATAAACAGCCGCATTTGGAAGAGATTGACAGTGTGCTCAGCGCTCCTGAACAGTATATTGTGAATCCATTTTGAGTGGTACTTGTACTAT